TGGCAGCCCGGACTACTCCACCTGCCCCATCTCTACCTTTGACTACTTCAGCTCTGAGAGGCCGAGGCTCCCTATGAGTCAGGTCTTTGCTCAGCCATGAGAAGAAGGTGATTGGCTGGGTCTGCCAGGGCTTTGTGACCCGCTAGCCAGGCTCCCCCAGTCCCTCAGCACCCTTCATCCCTGCCTGCACATATTGCCTCCATGTAACCCCAGAATAACCTGATGTCTGATCCCAGGGGGCAAGGGAGAGCAATATCGCAGATTTTCCAAACAGGTGACGTTAGCTCCCCTGGGCCTGGACGGAAGGGGTAGCCCAGTGACAATGGGCATAGCCCCATGTCAGGAGCAGGAAACATTTGTCACACTCCGCAGAGTTCTCTCTCTTCTGATCCCACAGCATCTGTTCCAGTTTTCCTGGCCGGTAGGATGGCATCTACAAAGCAGAATCTAAGAAAAATCTGGAGTTGGGGTGGTATCGTGGTCACAGGCCAACCTTTAGGAAGCCCAGGTGGCTCTTTCCAGGTCGAAGGGGCAGAGAAAAGCACAGTGTGCAGTCCCCCCTGGACTGGCATCTTGGACACCCGAAGCTCATGTGCATTGGGCACCTGCTTCTCAAACAAGTGCCTTGATTTCTCGCTGCCTGCCCCAGTCACGCTGGTAACACTTACCTGGTGTTACTGTGTGCAGGCTCTGCTCAGCACTTTGTATACATGGCTCAGTTAATCTCATATCAGCTCTAGGAGGTGGGAACGTTACTGTTCCCATTTTATAGGTGAGGAAACTGAGGCCCAATGTCAAACAGCTAGGTTGGGTAGAGCCAGGATTGAAACTCAAGTGGTCTGACTGGAGACCCAGTATTCTTTAAGCAGCACCCTCTAGAGCCTGCTGGCAGCACGCCCAGCACCCACTGCAGGAGGGAAAGACCTGGTGTGTCTTTCATTGCCATGCTGGGCAGAGGGTAGAGGCCTGGGAACGTCAGAGGGGTCCTCTAGGGACCAGAGAATTAAAGAAGACTGTGGGGCCCTGAATTATCTTCAAGATATATTTGTAGAAGACAGATTTCCACTGAAGACTGAAAAACAAAAAGCCAAAATTAGATTTGGTCTGGTGACAAGGTTCTTAAATATTACATGTGAAATTTCAGAGTTATGCAGACTTGGTTATGCTTTAGGAATATAAAGACCTAGATCTATGTGCAGTCCTAAGTATCTGGGAAGGAACTGGATGGTCTCTCAAAACTCTTCGGCTGTGGGATGAGATTTGGTCAAGATGACCATTTGCAAGGCCTAAGGCAGAATGACCGTCCGCTCCACCCCTCCTGATGGGAGCTAACACAGCCTTTCTGTCAGTCAATGCACCGTGACCCTAGCTTAGGAAATGATTTAGCAAAATCACCAGATTAAACCTCCTCAACCTTTCTGTCCCATGACTGCACCCCTGGGAGCAGGAGTCCAGACCCTGCAGAGCAGGCTTTCCCCAAGGTCACGTCCTCTGTCTAATCCTGAACGGTATTTCAAGGGCCCTAGAGGATGACATGTCAACCAAATTGGGGTTGTTTCTTGTGGCAGTCACCATGTGCCAAAGAATATGGTAGAAACATGGGGACTGGGTTGGAAGACCCCACTATTTAGCCCTTGAACAGAGCCTCCCCCCTCTGGCCTACTATTATCTCAGGGAAAGTGAAGAAGCCCTTGCTAAGGAGTATGTTAACGTCAGAGTTTTCTCAGACTATGTCTCCACTCTAATGGGAGGCGACTGGTCCACTTAGGGCCAGATGCTTGAGCAAATGCTTTATATACCTCTGCCCCTGGAAGCTGGTCTGATTTGAGTCTAGGCATGAGTCAGCCCCGAATAAAAAAAGTTGGACCCGTGGATAAGTTTAACATGTGACTTTGGGGAATAGGGAAGTTGGGTTAGTTTAGTCCCGAATCTTAGAGAACCAATCCTAAGCCATTCCAGTTGGTCCAGCCCTTCTTAGAGCTGTCCAGGAATAAGCACTCCATCACCCCCCTGCCCTGGCACTACCAGCTTTTGACCCAGACAGGCTCCTCCATGGGGAACCAGATCAAATTTAGGGGCCCTCCTTTTCTAAATGAAGCTAGGAAGAGGGGGGTTGGAGGATGAGGAAACTTTTAAAGGAGTCTTTGCTCAGGACCTGGGTGCCACCTGCTGGCCATAATTTAGTTGTACTGTATTTACAGGGCCAAATCTGTAAGATTTGGAGAGGAAAATTAAGGGCACCCGGCCGTCCCTGTCATACGAGGGGTAAGGGAACTGCTTTCTTAGTGACCTTTGAACAAGTGTGACAGAGAATCCTTGCTGAGACCCCTGGTGCCTTGGAGGAATTCTTCTGAGCCAAAATGGACCCAGTCAGGGCAGGGGTGGCATCACTTGGAGACCCTGAGGCAGTCCTGAGTGGAGGCAAGGGCACGGATCCTAGTATCAGATGAGGACTGTGGTTCTAATCCCTGGTCTGCTTGGGCACCAGTATCACCTGCAGTGTTTTTTAAGACTACATATATGTAATATATGTATATGTATACATATGTATAAATATATATGATATACTATATATTCTACATGGTATATTATATTATACTAGGCCCAGTGCATGAATTTGTACACCAGTGGGGACGCTTGTCCTGGCCTGCAGACCGGGCCGAAACTGGCTCTCCGACATTCCCCGAGGGGTCATGGATTGTGAAAGGGCACAGGCCAGGCCGAGGGACCCCACCAGTGCACAATCGGGGCCAGGGAGGGACACAGGAGGTTGGCCAGCCGGGGAGAGACCATGGGAGGGCTCCAGGGTGTGTCCGGCTCATCTCCCTCAGTCCTGATCTGCTGGACCCCAGCAGCAAGCTAACCTACTGGTCAGAGCGTCTGCCCCCTGGTGGTCAGTGCACGTCATAGGGAGCAGTTGAGTGGCCTTAGCATATCATTAGCATATTACGTTTTGATTGGTTGAACAGCTGACCGGTCGACTGGACACTTAGCATATTAGGCTTTTATTATATAGGATAGTATTTTATATAGTTATATACATAACATATGGTCTATTATGTATGATACTATATAATAGATAATAAATAGAATAGTTACATATAATATGGATAGTTATTCACATATACACGCACACGCATGACTTGGGCTTCACTCCAGCCTATTGGCAAGTCTGCAGGAGAAGCTCAGGTCCTCTCCCAGTGCAAAGCGTTGGGAGTGCATGGCTATGTGTCATTCCCTTTTGGTTCCAGACCAGACCTGATAAAGCAGCAGAATAGGTCTGGACAGGAAAGAGGGCTGGGTGCATTCTTCCTTCAGGGACACTTTGCATATTAAGCCTAGAGGAATATTCTTCACTCCAGAACTACGCACTGTCACAATCCTGAGTACATAGTCCTTCCGTCTATCTTCTGTTTCTCCGTTTCTGATAAAATCTAGTTACAAGAAATATTTCCCTCTTCCCTTCACAGTGCATGTCAGTGCTAACAGCTGGCACTTGGCCTTTGCTGGGAGATTGGGGGAGGGGCTTCCACCTGCTCTGCTCAGCTCCAACATAGGTTCTGTGCAGGGAGCATAGGCCCAGGATTGCTATAAGAGGCCAGAAGTCCCGAATTGTTTGCGTGACGCATCCCAACTTTAAAATAACGGACACTAATTCAAAAATGTTTCCAGCACTGTGAGTGCTAGAGTTCAAGTCTGCAAGGCAAATTTTGCCAATGGGTGTCTCCTCTGTGACTGCTGGTTGCCAGGGCTTTAAGCTAAGAGTGATGTGGCCAGGGCTGCGTTTAGGTAGGTTCTGACTGCAGTAGTGTCAGGGGGGTCTGGGGGAGACCGGAGGCTGGAAGGCCTTCCAGGAGGCTTCTGCTGGCCTTGGCCAGAGAATGTCCACATAAACCCCAAGGTGGCAGGAGAGATGGAGAAGAGCAGGGCCATTGGGAGGGCAGAGTTGCAGGACTTGATTCAATATGAGGATGAGGGGGAGTGGGCTATCTAGCCTGGTGACTGGGTGACTGGTGGTGACATTCATGGGGATAATGAATACAGGAGCAGAAGCATGTCTTTTTTTAAAATATATATATTTTTTATTGATTTCAGAGAGGAAGGGAGAGGGAGAGAGAGATAGAAACGTCAGTGATGGAGAGAATCATTGATCGGCTGCCTCCTGCAGGCCCCCACCTGGGATCGAGCCCGCAACCGGAGCATATGCCCTTGACTGGAATTGAACCCGGGACCCTTCAGTCCACAGGCTGATGCTCTCTATCCACTGAGCAAAACCAGCCAGGGCCAGCAGCATGTCTTAAGGTTCTGGACAAGCAGAATGTAGGTGCCCCTGGGTCAGCCAGCAGGCCACACGCCACAGGCCCCACAGGAATATGGAATCTGGTCAGGCAAAGGTTAGCTGGCTTTCTAAAACACAATCTGGCCAGGACAGTGTCTGCTTAAACACCTTCCCATTGGAGGTCAGACTCCTCCTCCCGTAAACAAAGTCCTTCGTGATCCCTGCCAATCACACTGTGCCATGCTCAACAGGAGCCTGCTCCCCAGCTCCGCCGAGCAACTGGGAGCCCTGGAATAAGCCATGCCTTTGTTCATGCAGTGCCTTCTGCATCCCTTTGTATGTTTGGAAAATTCCTACTCCTTCCACTCCACATCTCCGCTTGGAAGCCTTTGCTGGCCTGCCAAGCAGAAGCGGTCCCTCCCTTCTTTGTGCCGTCCCTGAACTTAGCATGTGCCCTGATGTGTGGGGATTTGCCTGTCTGTAAACTTCTTGAAGGAGTGACCACATCTTAACTTTGTTGCACCCGTTCTCAACACGCCTCTAGCATATAGGAGAAGCTCTTTAGAGAATGAAGAGGTCCCCTCTCCAGGAGGGAAAATGCAAGGCTGTCTGGAGGAAGACAGCTCTCATTCCCCAGGGATCATCCCACGCCTGCTCTCCTAACAGCTAAAGAGCAGCTCGGTTCCCTGGTGCTGACCTTGCCTCTCTTCGTTCTTTGCAGCTGGGGTATGGCCGTCAATGTGTACTCCACATCCGTGACCAGTGAGAATCTGAGTCGCCATGATATGCTTGCGTGGGTCAATGACTCCCTGCACCTCAACTATACCAAGATAGAACAGCTCTGTTCAGGTAGGAGGCTGGGAGGGGGGAGTGGGCCCTGCTGGAGGGGAGGCGGGAGGCAAAACAGACACAGCAGAGACTGTAACTTGTAATTAGGCTTTAGGAGGAGAGCTGCAGAGCCCTGAACTAGTCAGTGTTTGGAGCTGAAGGGCCTCCACGGATGGGGAAGAGCAGGAGGGGCGGGGCAATGGCCCAGGCAGTGAAGCCAGAGGCTGACAGCAGAAGGGCCAGCCTAGCCACTCTGGGTCCCAACCTCAGCTCTTCTTGTAGTGCACCCTGGGCAACCACTACACCTCTCTAGGCCTCAGTTTTCCCATCTGTAAAATGGAGATTATATCACCTATCTCACTAGGATTACTGTTAGATTAGATTACATAATGTAGTGTTTGCTATGGTGCTGGCACATAATTGCATCAATAAATAGTAATTGCTCTTATTCTTGGAACGCTGGGGGATTCTGGCAGCGTCTATCCTGCGAGTAGGACTGGCCACGCCCCAGAACAAGGAGAGAAAAGAGGAGCTGGGTGGTTTGGGGGAGTAGGCCGGCAGAGGGGCTGGCTGAAAGGGAAGCAAGCAGCCTCGGCAGGGGAGCGGCCTGGACCCTCGGTCAGCCCTGCTTCTCCTCAGGGGCAGCCTACTGCCAGTTCATGGACATGCTCTTCCCTGGCTGCGTGCACCTGAGGAAGGTGAAGTTCCAGGCCAAGCTAGAGCACGAGTACATCCAGAACTTCAAGGTGCTGCAAGCCGCTTTTAAGAAGATGGGTGTTGACAAAGTAGGTGCCTGTGCCCCCCGGGGCCCTGAGGAGCTGTGTGACTTGGGGAAGAAGGCGGCCCGCCAACAGGGCAAAGGGCCATTCCATCTGCGCCTCTCTCCACCCCCTACTCTCCGAGGGAATGTCCCCCAGCTCAAGGCACAGTGGAAAACCCCACATCCTTCCCATCCCATCCTAATGACATTCCTGCCCCTTCCTCCTCTCTGGACCATATCCATCCATTGAGGCTTGGTACTCATATCATTCCTTCCCCAGGGCCCAAGAAAAGGCTTTTGCTCACTCTACTGCCTCGATGGCCCCAGGCCCTTGGCTCCAGCAGCCCCCACCCCACATGGAGGCAGCAGCACCATGGCACTCCCCCCACCCAGTTTCTCCCGTGTCCTGGCGCCATGGGAGGGGCAGGTGGCAGAGCTGGCAGCCACTGCAGCAGGGGCTGGCTCTCCTGAGAGCAGGCCCTCACAGAGGAAGGCAGCCCTCCATGCAGGTGGCTAAAGTTCTCTGCTTATGTGGTCTGTTTCAGATAATTCCTGTAGAGAAATTAGTGAAAGGAAAATTCCAAGATAATTTTGAGTTTATTCAGTGGTTTAAGAAATTCTTTGACGCAAACTATGATGGAAAGGAATACAACCCTCTGCTGGCGCGGCAGGGCCAGGACGTAGCGCCACCTCCTAACCCAGGTGATCAGATCTTCAACAAATCCAAGAAACTCATTGGCACAGCAGGTAACATGCTGGGGGAGGGAGTGTGTGGGGCCGGGCCAGCCAGGAGCGCCTCCTGGGCCACTCGCCCGCCCGGCCCTGCCCCCCGAGAGGAGACTGTTATCACGGAGTTCAGATGACGCCGCCTGCTGCCCCCTTAGACCAGGGGGGGTCACGGCAGGGAGGAGAGGGCTCCAAAGACGGCCACAAAAGGAGAGCCACTGGCACCAGCCAAGGTGGCAGCCGGCGGTGGGAGGCCCAGGCCCTTCCCTCTGCAGCAGGAGCTGACAGGTTTGCCTCGAGATGACGGGGCAGCACGTGGCATGGTTCCTCCGTCCAGGTCCATCCACTCCACATCCTTCTCGCCCCCTGGACGCCGGGGACGGGACTGCCAGGCTTGGTCATATCTTCCCCCATTCCACAGGCCCATCGTCCTAAGTCCTCAAGAGACGAGCCTTGGAAACAAGGCTTTGTCGGGGTTCTAGAGAAGAAGGGAAAGAAGCATAGGGCCTTTGGGGGACGGGAGGGTTGGGAGAGAAGGGGAGCGGAGCGGCCCCAGCCCGCATCTGAACCCGTCATAGCAGAGCCCTCCTGTTTGCGCTGCTGCCCCGCCTGGGCCTGGCCCCCTCACCTGCTTGCTTTGCGTTAGAAGCAGCAGCTCTGCCTAGGGAGCTGCCCAGCTAGAGAGCAAGAGCCACAGCATGCTTGTCCCGGGGCAGGCAGCAGGAGGGAGGGCAGGTGTCTTTTCTGTCCTCCAGTCCCGAGACTCTGAGGTCACCCACATGGAGAGTGGCTTTGGGCTGCCAGGAGAGCTAGATCGAGACCCTGCCCCAGCTGCTTTCCCTCGGGCTTCAGCTGTCAGTACAAGAGGCGCCAACCCGCCCAGCCCCACTTCCCCAGTTCCCTAACCCTGTTTCCCTCATGTCTCCCTCCGCCAGCTCTCCTCCCTCCCACACCTCACCTGCCTCAGTTCCCTGTAGTCCCTGCTCTCCCAGGCTTGCAAAGGGCTGCCCAGCTGCTATGGTGTCATGTGTGGCCGTGGCGTGAGGCCTAGATGTAGAGCCCCCGAGTGGGAGAGGAGAGGAGGGCAGAGCACCTGCCTTTAGCAGGGGCCTGCCGCACACTCGTCACACCAGGCCGTCTCCTGCCCGGGGGCTCTGGGCTCACATGGCCCCTCCGAATTTCCTCCTCTGCGCAGTTCCACAGAGGACGTCCCCCACAGGCCCCAAAAACATGCAGACCTCCGGCCGGCTGAGCAACGTGGCCCCACCCTGCATCCTCCGGAAGAATCCCCCATCGGCCCGAAACGGTGGCCATGAGACTGATGCCCAAATTCTTGAACTTAACCAGCAGGTGAGTGGGGTGGGCGGGGGTAGCTGAGACAACCCTGCCTCCACAGCCAGGCCTGCGGGTGTCAGGGTGGGAAGGGGAGCCTGAGGCGGGACCTGCGGCTGGAACCCCACCTTCGCCCACGCAGCTATTGGATTTGAAGCTGACCGTGGATGGGCTGGAGAAGGAGCGCGACTTCTACTTCAGCAAACTCCGGGACATCGAGCTCATCTGCCAGGAACACGAGAGCGAGAACAGCCCCGTCATCGCGGGCATCATTGGCATTCTCTACGCCACCGAGGTGAGCCCTGCCTTCGCCCGCGAATGTCCCGGGTCCCCTGGGCCCTCCCCCATCCCGCTGGCCTAAGACGGGAAGAGACAGGACCCGAAGCAGCCTTGGAGAACATGGACGGTGAGGGCAGCAAGCTGTAGTCACAAGCCCCAGGTCACAGAGCGTTAGCAGGGAAAGGACTGGAACCTTGCTCCCCAGCTACCTACACAAACCACACCTCCGCCCGCCCGCCTGGCTCACCTGTCCCCTCCCTTCCCACCTCCAGGAAGGCTTTGCACCCCCTGAGGACGACGAGATCGAGGAACACCAACAAGAAGAACAGGACGAGTACTGAGGGCGGCTCCAGCCCTGGCTGACTGCACGCCCCCTACCCCACGCCCACCCCCACATTATAATCCTTTCCTTAGAGCGTCGGCCGGGTGCTTTGTGTCAGTGCCGCAGCATTGGGGAGTCAGGCGAGGGGGCTGGAGGGGATGGGGCAGATGGGCAGGCAGAGGCCCGCACTGGCCAGTGGGTGGGACCCCTGCCCATTCCCCACCCCTATTTATTTCCGTTGTCTCTATGCTGTTTCGGCCAACACTTCCCAGGGTGCTGTGCCACCCGCCCCCGCCAGCCGCCTGCTCCCCTGACAGCCAGCAGCTGTATATTTGACAAAGTCATTGGTATATTTTTACTTACTGGATTTTCCTTGCACTTTACCTGTTCTTTTCCCAGGGCTCACAGCACGGGTTCCAGGGCAGTGTGCCTGGCTTGGCTTCCCTTCCCCATTGCCGGGCCATGGCAGGACTCACAATTCTTATTTATTTTGTCTTTTGACTCCCCAGTAGTTGAGGGAAGGCTGATGTCAGGAGAGGGAGAGGGGGACTGAGGAGAGGGTGCCTTAGGCCTCGGTGGTCAGGGAGAGGGAGGGGAGCATGCGAGGGATGAAAATGACCCCCTGGCACCAGACTCACCCACCCTGGGCCCCTTTCCCCCAGCCCCAAAGCCCAACACTGCCCCGAGGCCCCCAGCCACTCCCTCCGCAGCCCGTTCATACCACACAGACTCTGCCCTGACCCTCCTGTACGTCTGCCTCCCATCCCCCCACCTCCCCACCCCTGCCTCCTTGGGCCACCCAGCCTGTGTATGTGTTCACTTTTATTTAAATAAACTTGTGTGGTAAAAGTCCATGCCATGTCTCCCTCAACTGAGCTACAGCCTGGGTCTCAAAGCTTTGCTCTCCCTGAGCACACCCCTCCCAGAGCCATGGCCCTGCGCACAGCACCACGGTGGCCTTCCCTCATATCTGCAACACCCACCGCTGGCACTCCGGCCTCAGACCCCAGCCCCGACCCAGCCCCCATCTCCCAACACTGACGCCAGGGCTCTAAGACATAGATGCCTACCCCCAGTCCCTGAGGAAGAACAAGGTTTGGAGCCATGGTGGTGAGGATAGGCAGCCCAGTAAAGGGGTAGGTGGGGATGGGGGGGAGGGGGTAACAGGGTGGCCTGGCCAAGGGGCCAGTTAGACTTCATGTTGTCCCCCACCTTTGTCAAGGCTCACACCCCCCAGAACAGTGATCCAGCTGGGAACAAGGGCTCATCTGACAGAGAGAGCTGAGTGGGTTACAAAGAGTAAGCAACTCTGAGCACTGAAGTCCAGAGGACAGCCGTGCCCATGAGGCTCCTTCTACAGAACAAGGTCTCATGGGAACCACGATCAAGAAGCTTTCACGTCATCCACACAGCCCTGCCTGCCTGGTGTGTGTCCCAGCAAAGGGCCGTACTAACCAATGTCCTGGACGTCCAACAAGCGCTACCAGGCCATTCAAATGAAGCCTTGCCGTCATGCCGACCAGCGCCTTCATTTACTGATGAAGGGACCAAGGCCCACCTGGGGCATGACTTACTCAAGGTGGTAAAAACCTGGACCAGAATTCACACCTCCAGGTTCATGGTTGAGTACTCATCCCCAAAGACCACAGAGGTATTGCCCCCAGAATGTTCCTCTGGTTCAGGCTAGTCCTGGTAGCTGTCTCTTCACCATCCTGAGAGTGACTGAGCTACAGTTGGGGCTGCTGCTGCTGCGGCCCTGCTCCATGACCCTTCTTCCAGAGGACCCCCATTTCTCTAATGGCTCCAGACAGAAGCCTAAGATAAGCAACTCTTGCCTGCTCATTCCTCATTCACTTCTCCTCCTCCTTTTGACTCCCACCCCACATACAGACACTTCTGGCTTTATTTTATCTCTCTCTCTTTCTCCTCGAACAAGTTCATTGCCTGCTTTTATTGATCTTTTTTTAAAACTATATTTTTATTGACTTCAGAGAAGGAGGGAGAGGGAGAGAGAGAGAAACATCAATGATGAGAAAGAACCTTGATTGGCTGCTTCCTGCATGCCCCACACTGGGGGATCAAGCCCACAACCCAGGCATGTGCCCTGACCAGAAATGGAACCGTGACCTCCTGGTTCATAGGTCAACGCTCAACCACTGAGCCATTGAGGCTGGGCTGCTTTTATTGATCTTTGTGATTTTTTAATCCCTTGCCTCATTTTAAAAGGCCTTTCCTCCTTTATAGTATCCCAAGTAGATACTATAAAAGGATACAGTGGTTGTTCTGTGTTGTCCAGTGTTCATCTTCAGGCCCAGACCTCACCCTGCTGATAAAGTAGGTGTGGTAGGCAGAAGAATGCCTCCCCCCAAAGATGTCCACATAATTCCCAGAACCTGCTAGGTTGCATAGCAAAGGGGAATTAAAGTTGTAGATAAAATTAAGTTGCTAATCAGTTGACCTGAAAATAAGGAGAGAATCCTGGGTTATCCAGGTATGAATCTCATCCTCACATGTAGGAATGTATACAAAATAGCACGTTTCCTTAATTGTGATAAATTACTTTCACTTCACCTTCCCTCGTCCTCCCCTGCTGGGAAGCTTCAAGCTTTGTGGTCTCACATTATATTACAAGCAAGGCAGGAGGCCCTCCAGGGATAGTGAATATCTGAGCAGTCACCTGTTGGAGTGGTTCCTCCGGTTTTTTGTTTTAATTTATTTGTATTGATTTTAGAGAGGAAGGGAGAGGGAGAGAGAGATAGAAACACCAATGATGAGAGAGAATCATTGATCGGCTGCCTCCTGCACATCCCCTACTGGGGATGGAGCCCGCAACCCAGGCATGTGCCCTTGACAGGAATCGAACCTGGGATCCATCAGTCCACAGGCCGACGCTCTAGCCACAGAGCCAAACCAGCCAGGGCAGGTCTGCGGCTTTTGATCACTTCCCCGCCACGTCTGGGACTTGGGACTGACAGCAGCCAGAGCCAGAGCCGCTTCTTTTCCATAGTTTGCAAGAGGAAACCCAGCCCTGGCTGTCCCCGGGCCCCAGACTCTTCTCTGCCTCCATTCAAAGAACTCTCCACTCTCCACCCTCCAAAAAGCGCCTCTTCCCTCGAGCTCCATCCTCTTCCCTGTTCCTGCACAATAGATTTTTACAGCCCATTCAACTCAAAGTTTAATCACCAGCAACATAACACGAACACTTTCCTAGAGCGAAGGAAGCGTTTAATCTACAAACTCTCCTGGAGGGGAAGAGAACTGTTTCCATGCCATCCTTCTAGCACTACGAGAAAGAAAAACCGCATCAGCTAAATTAGCAAGTCACCTGATGCAGCGACCCTCACACAGTAGGTGCTCCATGACAGTTCGCTAAGCGCAATAGCCTCCGTCTCAACACCTTTGGCAGTTGGTTGCGGCGAAGGAGCCCAGACGCCCGCCCCCACCCACACCCCCACCTCTCGCTAGCGATAACCTGGCCAAACCGAAAGACTACAAGTCCCAGGCTGCCTTGGGGCGGCGTCACGCGCCGCGAGGCTCTGCAAAGAGACGTGGCAGAGCGCGGCGCGTGCACTCCAGCCGGAAAGCCCGGGGAGTGGCCGACCGCGGCGGGAGGGTGGGAGCCATGGCGGCGATCACGGCGGGTGCGGGGCGCTGGGAGGTGGTGAAGAAAGGCCGGCGGCCGGAGGCGGGCGAGCGGTGGCTGGGCCGGTTGTAAATCATTGAGCTTTTATGTGGAATCCTTTAACACGGACATTTTTTCCTCTCTTCTTTGAAATTTCCCCAGCTGTGTTCCATTTCTCCTCATATAAAGTTATCCTACTCAGAGCACAATATTAAGTCAGATGCTTTGAATCCTTCTCCCTTCCATTCCCAATGCCTGCCAGGGTACTCCGTATGAAAACCTTCATCATC